ACTTTTAGCTGGAAAAAATTATTCCATACCACTCAGGGGATAATAATAAATGTGTTTATAAAAAAAAACTGTCCAAATCGGTAAAATTGTGCCAAAATTTCAAATTAAAAGCAAGTGTGCCAATAATTTTGTTAAGGAAGATTCGGCACTTGTTTTCGTTATTTTAATTTTAAAAATTAACTATAAGATGTAAAATATTAAAAAAAAACTGGGTCGTGTTGTTAATTAATTATATTATGTGAATAAATTTTGTTTTATGTCAATATCCCCATTTTAAGAGGAGAAACTGAGCCTCAAAGTTGAACAAGCCAACTGTGCCAATAATTATGTTCGTCACTGTACATACTGTTCTCAAGACTTCTACTCTTTCTCAATTCAGAATTTAGTACTTCCGCTGTGAGTCGCCCAAGAAAGGGTTAAATAAGTTTAGACAGGTCATGAATGATACCATACTTTTCTTAACTCATTTGATATTTATTGAAAAAGGCAATTAAAAATAAAAAAAAATTTATTTTAACTTTTTTTCCTCGTCTTGAAAACTAAAATTTTTGGATGCAAAAAGTTTCTTAAAACAAAAATAATAGTAACTGCAAAAAGAATTTTTCAAAAATAATTTTTCTTTTATTTTTTATAATTTTTGAAAATGTTTAGAAATACGCATTCAAGCCGACATTGTCACCTTCGAAAAATCATAAAAAATAAAAGAAAAATTATTTTTGAAAAATTTATTTTGCAGTTACTATTATTTTTGTTTAAAGAAACTTTTTGCATCCAAAAATTTTAGTTTTCAAGACGAGGGAAAAATTTTAAAAAGTAGATTTTTTTTTTAAAGTGGCCTATTCAATAAATATCGAATGAGTTAAGAAAAGTATGGTATCATTCAAACGGCATTTAAATTACCTTTCCATCGATACCAAAAGTTAAAAGAATCAAGTTCAAGTTTCGAGTAAATTTCACTTTTATTATTGTCAAAATACTTATGTCCACGATTGTATTTATATATTTATCTTTACAAATAAAGTATATACCAATATATACAATATCCATTCCAATCGTTTTTGGTTTAACACCGTTTTATAATATATTTAAAATTTTTAAATTTGTGTATGCACTCCACTGCAGTGGCTTTCAGTTTATTGCTTGGTTTCCGCGCCAATTACTCCGCAAAGGTGTGGAGCAAATAAAAAACTAATAATTGTTTTTTAAGCCTTGTTTTATTGATAAACAGATGCGCCAAATTTGAAATCAAAATTCCCAAGTTGATTTCTTGATTTTTGGCCTATGGGACCGACCACTGTGCAATGTATGTTGTTTGTATTTGGGGATGGTGGTAGAGGTAGCATTTTAATCCAAATTATCATTTATAATAAGCAATGATACTACCTCAGGGAAAGAAGTATATGTGCATTGAAATTATTTAAAAAAAAACCATAAAATAATTATATTAGGTTTTTGATTTAATTTATTTATATTGCTGGAATACATATTAACAAAAAAATAACAATATAGTTTTCGTAAACGTTTTGATTAACTTTAAATTAAATAAAGAATTTTAATTTCATATGAAATAAGTAAATGTGCATACTGGCCGAAAATTCGAAATACATGTTGGAAAATTTTTCAACAATTTTAAGTACACTTCCTAATAATTTATATGACTTCCTTTCTTAATAAAAATTTGATTAATCCGATTGGGCATTGAATTTGCTAAGTTTTTCAGAGTTGTCGGATTAATTTGATCCCATTCCTTGATCAAAGCCTTTTTAAGGTCATTAACTGTGTCGAACTGCCGACCTTTCTTGTAAACTTTATTAGAAAGAATTCCCCAAAGATCTTCTATTGGGTTTAGGACCGGGCTGATCGCTGGCCATTGCAATAGCGGTATTTTTCTAGCTGCCAGAAAGTCTTTTGTTTTGGGAGCTGTGTGGATTGGCGCGTTGTCTTGCTGGAATATCCACTCATCCCCATAAATGTCTCCAGCAAATTCAATGAGCACTGTTTCTAGTAACTCTATATAAATTTCTGCATTTGTTCTAGTGGGTATAAAACAAAGTGGAGACTTCCCAGCATACCCAAATCCGGCCCAAACCATTAATGATCCTCCACCGTGGTTTCGTTTATGGCAGACCTGCCGTGGTTGCCTTTTGTCGCGCCAGTACTTTTGACAGGAGTCAGGGCCGTCTAAGTTAAATTTTTTCGTCCGAAAATATAACTTTTTTAAACTCCTCCGACCAAAATTTGTATTTCTCAGCAAATTGTAGACGAGCGGTTATATGGCGCTTTAATAGCCTTGGTACAGGGTCGCGTGAACCTATGTAACCATTTTGTTTTGGTTTAAAATTTGGTTTATACGTCTTTTGGATACTTCAAGATTCAGTTGACCTTTTATCTCCATGCAAGACTTGTTGTCTTGAACTGCTGGACGCCGAATTTGTCTCTTGCACCGCTCGTCGATTTCAGTGGGCCTGCCGTTTCGCTTTATTTTTCCATAACTTTCTGGATTTTTAAGGAAGTTACTAATTGTATTCCTGTGCCTATTTAATCTGGCAGCAATATATGAAATGGTCTGGCCAGATTCAGCCAGTCCTTTGATCATGCCGCGATCTTCCTCTGACAAATGTAAACCACGTGGCATTTTACCGTAAAATCAAACTAAATATTTATTATTTTATTATACAAAGATAAAAAATATATTTTACTTACGTTCCGCTGACTAAAAAATATTTTTAGATCACACTTCTTAGCTTACTCGCTATCAATAACAGAATAATCTCAATATGCACATATACTTATTTCCTATTAAAATCACAAGTTTCAGCACATGTTCTTAGAAACGGTACAACGAATGAAGTCCAAAGAGGACCGTTGAATTAGGATATGTCCATAAAGGATAAGAATACAAAACTGCGTACTTACAAAAACTGTACCCTTAACTTTAGAGAAAATACAAGCAAATTAAAAAGTGCACATATACTTCTTTCCCTGAGGTATATTATCAAATAATGCGTTAAAAATAATGTTTCCGTAAATTAACAAAAAAAAAAAACTGTTCGCGCTTGTTAAAAAAAAGAACAACAAGCTACACTATTGCAAAGTCAAAAACATTTATTTTCAAACCAAATTCGCAAAAGAATGCGTAAATGTGTATGTTTGACTTAAAATATGTACATATTTAAGGCGATGGTTATTTTCGAAACTTCTGCATTTTACCATATAAAACCAGTTGGTTTAAGCGGATATGAATAACTTTGCTATTAGATGTTAATTTGCTACCCCAAAAATACAAATTAATTTAAACACTAATTGAATTATGGTTCCAGGGAATGGAATTTGCAATAGAAGCTGCAAACAAGCAGTATAATTTAAAAACCATTTTTAATATTTCATCTACATACATACATATATTAATATTAGGATTGGTATGCGTCAAATTGTGGGGGGGTAAGGTTTAAAAAAATTTTTTTTTTACAATTTTTTTTTTATTTTTTTCCTAATGACCAATACGTCGAGAACATTGTGAACAAATTTTGAGTCAATTAAAGTCAAACTAACGGAGTTACAGCGTTTTAAACAACCGTATTTGGACGTATTTTCACGTATAACAAGAAAGGAAGCTAGCTTCGGCAAGCCGAAGCTTATATACCCTTGCAGTCATTAAATATGTCAAACAAAATACATAAAGGCTAACAACATCGAATCTATGACGATTTTTCTATTATAATAGATAAAATAATTATTTACCATATTGTTCATATGACAGCTATATGATATAGTCGTCCGATTTTGATAAAATTTAATATGTAACTCAAGACTCATTAGAAAACTCTATATTCCAAAAATCATGATTGTCTGATGAAAAACAACGAGGTTATAATTTTATTTCCGTTATTTCTATATAGATTTTTCGATCTTTCCTATGGCAGATATATGATATATTACTCGGATTTTTATGAAATTTTTTTCTCGATTTAAGAGTATTTAAAAAACTTGATGTTCCAAAAATCATGCTCGTGGGATTAAAAACAACGACGTTATAATTTTTTTTCCATTATTTATATATATTTTTTCTGATCTCTCCTATGGCAGCTATATGATAGAGTTATCCGATTTTGATAAAATTTAATACGAAATTCAATAGGAGTTAGAAAACGCCATCTGGAAGAAATCAAGTCGATCTGATCAAAAACAACGGAGTAAGAATTTTTTATTTCATTCTCTTGTATGGGAGCTATCCGATATAGTCGGCCGATCCGGCTCGTTCCGATCTATATACTGCGTGCAACAACTACACAACTTTTGGAAAAGTTTCAGCGAGATATCTTTAAAACTGAGAGACTAGTTTACATAGAAACCGACAGACAGACAGACGGACAGACGTACAGACGGATTTGGATCCTGATCGTGATGCTGATCAAGAATATATATACTTTATGGGGTCTGAGGTGTCTCCTTCACTGCTTTGCAAACTTCTGACTGAAATTATAATACCCTTTTGCTCTGCAAGGGTATAAAAATCTATATAGAAATTACGGAAATATAATGATTACCTCGTTGTTTTTCATCAAACAATCATGATTTTTGGAACATAGAGTTTTTTAATGAGTCTAGAGTTTCAAATTAAATTTCATCAAAATCGGACGATTATATCATATAGCTGTCATATGAACAATATGGAATTTGAAAATCCTTTTTAAAACTGTCACACAGTGTAACTCGTTTTGACGTCTTTAGGGTCGATTTTATTCTCAGTGTACCATAGGCCTTTTTGTCTGTAAATCCGTCACGTCCTACCGATACATACATACTTGCATATAGGCAGGGACTGGGAGTAACGAAGAAGAGGAAAGAAAATAAGTAAAGTGTGGTCTAGCATCCCCGACCTGTAACGGGGGTGAGTGCGCGAGGGTGCCTTTAGTGTTTTATGTCCGTGTACACCAATACAGCTACAACAAGATGCATCTTCAGTGGTTGGTGGTTCGATATTGGATATTAGCAACGGAAACGTCGGCCTTAGCAGAGACACGAAGCAAGAGATGTTAAAACATGAGAGAATCAAAAAGTAGCAGAGACCGAAAACATGATAACAAAAATCAGTTTTCGGTTTTACTCGGTCTAGTAAGGTTGTACTGCCGCCATTTCGTCATCTAAAAATCGAGGCTCAATAAAGCCAAGTGATCTTGTGTTTATTTAGAAGGGTGGATTAACTCTAGAAAAATTCTGATTTAGTGGAACAGCCTTTTGCGTCTCGCACTTTACCATTGCTATGTCTTCAACACCCCCCTCCAGGGTGGTCATTGAAAATGGATCAATGCTGGGCGCAATGGGACAAGAGGTTTCCAGCTCAAGACCTCTGCTTTGGCTGAAGGACTCCCCGGTACCAGAAGTTTTACCGAAAATCATTATAAGTTCATGCCAAAGCAGCAGTAATCTCCATAGCGTGAATGATATAAATATCCGTGAATTAAGAAGCTCCCAGGAAACCAGAACCCCGAAACATAACGCCAGCAAAGAAGATGTACACGCAGAAAATGAGATGCTGCTCGATGGCAGGCAACAAGGACCCGACTCTGAGTGCGAGCTCGAACAGTTTTTCCCTAATCGCACCACGTCGCAGACTTACATTCTCGAATCCAGTGCATACTGCGTTTCTCCGAATACCACGCCTCTCACACTAGATCTTTTCAACTCCAGCTGTTCGCGAGCAGACTCCGAGTCACGGCCGGAAAAGCGACTGCACCGCAAGTCCCTTAAATCCGGCACTAAGTGCTCTTCAACCTCGGTCCTGATCCCAGCTCGATCATTACTGTCATCAGAAAACGTATTTCCGCCCCATTATACGGCCATTTTCCTGGACAATTGCCTTCACCCTAACGAGAGTTCAGAATCTGTAAGTGGCCAGGCTCTGACTGGCAATGCTGGAACCAGCGCTGACCCGACGCGGTACATACAGTACCATCAGTACTGTCGATCGCGACCCCCCCTGGAAAGTGTGGGGTTCAGAAGCGCGCACCAGAGCCAGTCCCATATAGTTAGCCATGCTCCCAGGTACCCTTAATTTTAATTAAAAGACGAAAGCTCCTTATGCATGAAAATATATTACTGTTTCATTTTCATTAAAGCAATCAATATTTTTTTAATGTTGAAAAAATTTTTAACTATTGATGGATACCTGATACTTAATTTACTACATTTTAAAATTGCATGTAGTATAGAGAACATAATATAGAGAACATTCAACTTTATTTGCATTTAGATTTACTATATAACACACATTTTCTTTTAATTTTTTAATGGTGTGTACATGAACACGATTTCTGATAGTGTTTTGATCACATTCTGCTACCTTCAGAGGGTATTATAATTTAAAAATACTCTTGCAGTCGTTACAAATCTATAGTAAAAGATTTTACGTCAAATAATAAAAATTAAATCTATCGCTCGACCTTATAAAAAAGGATTAAAAACATTTGATGATGGATGAAGTAGCCAAGTAAAAAAGAAGAATAAGCTTTTTCAGATATACACATGTTTAGGGCTGTGTCAAAATTGTAATATTTTTTACTATAAGCCGTTTATCATTATAACAATATTCACGTTCACTCAAAATCAGATTGGGTTATTTTTTGTGCCCAGCAAAATGGCTATGCAAAATGGCAGCTGTGTCAAAACTTTAAACAATTATGCGATGAGTTACAAGCGATTTATATCTACCTGCCAAGGTTTAAAGAAATGCATTCAGGTAGATGTAAAAAGGATTTTCATTATTTCTGGGTTTCTCATTTTTAGAACGCTATTGGACGTGGCTGTACCCCTGACCAGCAATAACGCAGACGCTGGAAACTACATGGCCAGAGCCAGCATTCACTTACCTGTAGTCTCTGTGTCGAGTAGCAACCTAACTAGGAGACATGGAACTCAAAAATGTTTTGGACGTCCTTCGCTTCCCTTTGTGATTGGCATATTTGCTCTTGGTGGTGTGGCGTGCACCCTTGGAGGCATTGTGCTTGGCAGCACAGGACTCATTGAGCACTCTACTCAATATATAAGTGCTGCTCTATTGATGATTGGCATCGGAGTGTCACTCTTAGTGATTTCGGGAGCAATCTGGAGGTTAAGTTTACCTGACGATATTGACGATTGTCCGTGCTCAAGGCGCTTAGAAACTTGCCGCAACTGTAGTGGTCCTTATTGCCACAACCGGGTCGTTCCCAGCAGCTACCTATATCCCGAGTTCCTCAATCGACCGCCGCCACCATCCTATCTGACATCGCTCAACGAGTATGCTTTATTCTACCACCATAGTACTCATCCGGTTGCGGCCGCTGCATCTCACACCTGTATGGAACTGAACACGCCCCCACCGCTTTACCGTTCGACGTACTCCCTAAAGTAAGCATATCGAAATTAGTTGTAGTTAACCTTAGAATCTTATTTACCATTATTACAGTACCTCAGCAACAAGTGGTCCTTCTGCAGGATTTTCTTTCTCACACACAATCGATATTCCGTCAGATGATGGGCAGACAGCCAGTTGCCATATAGAGAATGTTAGCCAGATATGATTAAGGAGATAAATATTGACGAAGCACCTGAGAACTGACTAGACTAAACTTCTAAATTGTAGCTGCCAAACTAATTAAATTTCCCCCTTCTATTTTTGAGTATATAGAAACAATTACAATTAGTTTTTATTGCCAAGAATTGAACACATAATGAAGTATGTCACAAAGGCCTAAAATTACCTGGATATTTAGACATTTAAGTATACAGTTTTTATTTAAATATAGTATAAAACTTAATTTTAGTCAATACAAATTGTCCTGTATCGTCCAATAATCGGGTCAAAACACTCAAATAAGTCCATCAAGCCGCCAGAAGTCCAGAAAATAAATATTTATAATTGGTAATATATATTATAAATGGTTGCTTATCAATATAAATTTTAATTTTAGTCAGAAGTATGCAACGCGGTGAAGGAGACACCTCAGACCCCATAAAGTATATAAATTAAAAGTACTTGGTCAGGAATCAGTTGTGATGGTGGCTCATGGATGTCAGGGGTGTCCGTAGCTGGCCGCACCGTATAATTGTATAATTGGAGGTTGTAGGGGAGACCGCCGCCCTTCGTCATTAAACAATTTGTGGATGCGGGTAGGTGACCGTCGTTGGCCACACTGAGTGTCTATAAACGAAGGGAGGGTCCGCCAGGTAACAGGATCTCTATTAATAACCGAATTTACGCTGAGAGGGAACTGTCCTCTTTTAACTACTAGCCTTAAGCAGAGTAGAGTAATGATAATATTTAACGATCGGCGTCGGAGTAATGCTTATGAGCAATGGATCTTTATTCCGACAAGTTAAAAACAGAACTGAACACAATTCTTTTACCTAAACCTAACATATGGTAAGTCGGAAAATCATAGCGGCCATGCAAATATGCTGTGTTTGCCGGCTATGCACGAGCATCCAGTCAAATGCTGTGTCAGCGATTTGGCCGTTGGTCGTCGACTCTGTCTGGCTAACTTCAATTATATATTCTTGATCAGTAATTTCCTAATTTGGTTCACTGGACCCTCTTATTTACAACAACCAATGGATTACTGGCCAAAGGACAAACGAGGTCAGATAGATCCCGAAGTAGTCTCATGTCAGAAACGTAAGGCAGCATTCGTGGCAAAAATATATGACAATCCCTTGCTCAACTTAGTCGAAAACACTAGCTCTCATCTTCGTTGCATTCGTTTCGTAGCATGGATACTTTGGTTCGCATATTGATCACGAAAAATAGTATCATTTGATACAACCTTTCCGTCGCCAACAGAACTGAATCGAGCATTCCACTGCATTATTTGGAATCTACAAGGGCAGTCATTTTCTCAGGAGCTTCGATCTTTACACAGAGGTGAAGAAGTTCGTACACAACTAATGTTTTTAACCTCTTTTCTAGGCACCATAGATGGATGTCCGCTAATAAAGGTCGGTGGCAGGCTACAACAATCGAATCTACCAGAATCCCAAATACACCCAATCTTGCTCAGCAGCAAGGACGAGTTCGTTCGGTCCGAAGGCATTAGTTGCTATCATTCGACTTCGTTTCTGGATTGTAAATGCTCGAGATGCAGCCAGACGCGTTGTTAGATCGTGCAAACATTGTGTTCATTATAAGCCACAGCTGCAGCGATAAATTATGGGAAATCTTCCGGTAGAGCGTCTACAAGTTTCAAAACCATTTGCACTTTGCTGGACCAGTCAACATATACATGCGCATAAGAGGAAAGGGCCCAACAAAGGGTTATATATGCATATTCGTATGCTTTGCGTCAAAGGCCGTCCATATCAAATTGGTTTCGGACCTTTCAACGGAAGCATTTATAGCGGCCCTAAAACGCATGATTGGGAGACGCGGACTACCAACCGATATATTTTGTGACAATGCCACAAATTTTGTTGGGGCTTGTAATAAATTAAAGGCTCTCCACGATTTTTTGTTTAAAACCGAAACTAAATCAGCTATTTCATCCTTTTGCTCAAACGAATTTATAAACTTTTGATTTATACCCCCCAGAGCTCCACATTTCTGAGGACTTTGGGAGGCCGCCGTGAAAAGTACAAAGGGACTATTAAATCGTTCTATCATAAACGCGCGCCTAGCCTTCGAAGAACGGTTTTTATCGACATCGAAGCGATCCTAAATTCGCGATCCATAACGCCACTATCATCCGACCCTAACGACTTGGAGGCCCTCACTTCGGGTCACTTCCTCGTAGGAAACTCCTTGCGTGCGTTGCCTGAAGACCCGCCTGAAGGCGAAAACATCGACAACTTGGAGCGTTGGAGAAGAGTCAGCGCAGTAAAGCAACACTTTTGACAGCACGAGTACGTAGCAGAGCTGCAGATTCGATCGAGCTGGAACAAGGTGATGGATAACGTGGCCATTGGAAGTATGGTCATCGTCCATGAAGACAACGTGGCTCCACAACGCTGGATAATGTGTCGAGTTGAAGCTACTATGTCAGGCAAGGATCGTCGAGTTAGAGTGGCTGACGTTCGCACATCCAAGGGCATCATCAGGCGTCCAATACATAAGCTGGCACTATTACCTGTCTGTTGAAATTCACGAGTGTAATTTCAATGGGGCCGGGATGTTGGATCATCGCAGAAACATCTCTATTAAAACTTATAATTAACTAGCAGACCCGGCCACGCGCTGCTGTAGCTAAAGTTATTGTTATATTACATTGAAGTATACAATTTAAGAAGAACGGTAGGTAAGGCAGATAGTCTTAAGTCTCTAACAGTAATATTTATTATTTTAAACTATAAATACTTTAAATTTCAATTTATTTTAGCACTAATCGGTGCACAATATTTTTGGTTTACCTGTCTTTAGCTAACACAAATAGATTTGTCGGTTTTCCAACACGTGAACATGCAACATATAGTATATATGAATCATGTGTTTAGTGACAACATCAAATAATTCTGGATCAACTAATGGGTCTGGAATTTCAGCTGAAATTATTTGATAGATTTCTTCTGGACGGATTTTATCTTCAAGCCAAATCAAAATGTGAGCATGAGGCAAACCTCGCTTTTGCCACTCAATCGTATACAGCCAACAACGTAGGATACCGAAAATTGAGAATTTATCAATAAAATCAATTAAGGATTTAAATTTTTGTTTAAACACGCGAGCAGTTATGTCATGACGATGAACTGCTTGTTGTCCTGATAATAATAAAGTTTCTATCTCTTCCCAATTCGGGTTACATGTAAATTAAATAGGTAAACAAATCCGGTCGGCCGTAATGACGTACGTAAGTCATCGCGTCTTGTATGTATTCCTGCATGTTTCGTGGACTGCCAATGTAGCTTGAAGGTAAAATAAAAGCATTACCGATGTCATTAGGATTTAAATTTCCGTCCGTAAGTGGATATATTCTTCTGATCGTAATTTAGCCTGGTTGAATCGAATGAATCGCAAGCGTTCGCTTTCAACCTTAGCATACATATCAACAATGTATTGATGGAATAGCTGACGATATCGAAGGATACAGTTGTCTTGATTTAGTCTAATCTTTATTCGGTGTGCGTAGTAGTTCATTGAGCTTACTTTTTTATTTCCATAATCACCTGAAAAAATAAAATGCAATACGAAATTAACATACATACAGTAAGAAAATAAATAGGTAATTGTCAAATTTACCGGTATTAGGATCAAACTGTTTGATGTTAAGGTGATATTCATCCTGTCCTTGCCAAAATATCAATGGATATTGTAGTGCATCATATGAACGGTGTAGATCCGAAATCGTACTGATAGTGTTGTCTTTCCGAGTCATTTTTATGGATCTTTTGTCAATTGGATCACCAACCATGATAACAGCAACCTCATCAATAATTGGAGCGTTGAATCTTCCAGCATGTTCACCTAATGGTACTTTATCGGCTTTTATAACGATTTGATAGTTGTCATTTTGCAATCGTGGCGAAACTCTTTTGATTTATTGAAGTAGTTGATTCTGATCTTCTTAAAAATTTTCCAGTAATATCACAATTGCTTCTTCCTCTGCTTGTTCAATGAAATTATACTGGCACCGAGTCGTTACGCGCTTCGGTCTACGTACGTGGTTGGCTATGCAAACACCAAAAATTAAAAAAGTAGAAATAATTGAATTTCACGCTATTTCGTTTACTACAAAATAAATTTAATTTATACCTTAACCTCAATAACACGTGGTAATCAGGCTATTGTCGGTTTAGCATAGCAGCAAAGTTGCCAACTCTACGTCTTTTTACGTAGATCTACGTACTTAAAGCCTTTCTTGCAAACCTACGAACTTCAGTCCCAGAATCTACGTATTTTCTATCAAAATTGTTCATAGCAGTGCCATCTATTGTTTACTTACTCAATCTAGTCGAAAAGTATGGACATCTATTAGATTCTTTTGGAGTTAACAGATAATTGTGACTTTCAATTAATTATAAACAAATAATTAGCAATAAAATAAAATTGCGACTTTAATTAAAGATCTAAGCTATCCTATCTCTCAAGTTGGACCAGACTGCTCATGGTACGCCAATTTAATTTAACATCGGTTAAGTAGTTTAGGAGCCCATCGCGGACAAACATCGTGACAGGAGATTTATATATATAAGATTACGATAAACCTTTTAAAATGTATTTAAATCTACATTCTTTGTATTCACCATTCTTGCATTCTTTGTATTCACCATTCTTGCATTCACCAAGTCGGCCGCTGCGCTGGCACGAAAATGGTCATTATTAAAAATTCGATCGTTTAGAGCACTCGCAATTCGCAACCTGAGTTTTTTTTTAATCAAATCGCTAAATCGACCTAATCACACCGCCCAAACACACCCCGGCAAGAAAACGCTCTTGTCCTTACAGTATCAAAGCATTCGTATTAATTTTTCAACAATTATTCGTTTATTTTTAGATTCTTCTGAAGCATGTTCTTCGTCACATATCCATCCGGAAATAGAAGAAAGCCAAGAACATACCTTATCGGATTTCCATCCAAAAATCGAGGAACCCCAAGTCAACGTTTCTTATATATCTGCAAATTGTAACATAATTTTATCAGATAGAGAAAAATTTGGTGGCAAATTAACTGAATGCGAACGAAAAATAATTTTTAAATTGGGTCCATTTAAGGCCAGGTTTCTCTAAAAAACGTACTTTTTTTTAAATTAATTTTATTTTTATAACAAAAAATGTTGAGTATTCAATTTTTTTTACATATGAAAGAATGTATATGAAATTACTTGAAAAATTTTAAAAATTTTTTTTTTTCAAAATGGCGGTTCTGAAAATGGCTGCTGAAACTTATCCGATTCGTAGATGAGTGACACGATTACTTGAAAAATAATTATCTGAAAGCAAAAACCAAAATGGTTTTGTATTCTGCATCGAAGTAGCTATGGCCTGAGCCAGATTGAAAAATTTTCCATGACAAAAAATGGCAGACTTTTGAATTTTTTTTAACCTTTTTTTCACTTTTAATAAATAATAATAACTTTTAAAAAAAAAAAATTCACTTTTTCAAAAATTTTTAGAGGAACCTGGCCTTAAACCACAAGGACCATTTCCAATAGTTTCAGAAAATAACCTACCTTTTTCGGCTTATTATTATTCATATTTCAATAAGGCAGGCATAGAAATTATAAGACCATGGTTAGTTATTCTAACGTTTTAAACAAACCGTATTGTCACTGCTGTTGGTTATTAGAAGATCGTCAAAACAAATCGTACTCCTCTGCTTGGGTTAACGGTCTTTCGGTTAGAAGCAATTTCACACAAACTATTCTTGACCATGAAAAGTCACAGCAAAATATTAGTGCCTCATTCTCTTATAATAAATGGTTGCAAGAAAGTACCATCGATACTCTATTGAAAAGTGAAATCGATAGAAAAATTACATTCTGGAGAGATGTACTGCATCGTATAATTAATGTTATAATTACTTTAGTATCTTGTAATCCACCTTTGAGAGGGCATGATTTTGATTCTGGAAATTTTATGGCAATTTCACGTCTGCTATCTAACTACTCCATGCTGCAACTTTAAAAGAACTTCTTTTAAAACCGAAAGGTGAAATAAATTATTTAATCCCTACGATTCAAAACGAAATTATTAGTTTGCTCAGAAATTGAAAAGGCTCCATTTCTGACAATAATTCTGGATACAACACAAGACTTGTCAAAAATTGACCAATTATCTGTAGTTTTTCGATATACATATCTCGGTAACAGAAAATGATGATAATGTGCCTAAAGAAATAAAAACCTGAGTCCTTTTTAGGATTTATAGAAGTAACCGATTGCAGTGCTGCAGTTCTGAAAACTGTCATTTTAAATTTGACTAAAGAATATGGAATTGATTTGACTAAATGTAGAGGACAGGGGTACGATGGAGCAAATGTCATGTCGGGTGTGTATGGAGGATTACAAACCCTAATAAAAGAGCATGCTCCAAATGCCGATTATGTTCATTGTGCTGCGCACGCTATAAACTTGGTTTTGAACGATGCTGCGAGACATGTTCGTGAAGTATCGACTTTTTTCGATAATTTAGAAAAAATATATACTTTTTTTGGCAATAGTATAAAACGCTGGGCTATGCTAAGTAACGATTCATCTGAAAAATATTTGATTACCCTGAAAAAGGTATGTCCTACCAGATGGTCTTCTAGGAACGACGCTTTATTAGCAGTAAAGAAAAATTTTTTACTAATCATGAAAACTTTGTACCATCTAATCTCAAATAAAAAAGATGAACGTGAAGAATGTAAAAGTATAATAAATATTTTTTTGGAGAGTTTTTATTTCTTATTGCTCGTTACATTTTTTCTTCACTATTTGAAATTATTAATCCTGTTTCTAAAGCTCTACAGCATGAAAATAATGACTTACAGAAGTATAGTATTTTATTAGGTAGGGGAATGTCGTCAGGGTTGGACAGTTGTCAGGGTCGGACACTTGCAATTTTTCAAATAAACCAACTATCGCCATCTGTGTGCGAATGTGGTATTAATTGTTTCCACTGTGGAAAACTTTTCATGCCAAGCCGCATCCCAGAACTGTTAATTTTCCTGTTTTGTTGACATAGTGTCGTGATAGTGACGAAAAAAGTATTAGAGAACGCGCAAAAAAAGTGGCATAATTCAGCGGAAAATATGCCATCCGCAGGGTTAGTTTAAAAATACGTTAAGTGGTTCCCCCTTAACGAAATCCTAAAAAAATTTTTTTCTAAATAAAGCGATTTGGTGGTTATCTTGTGCGATAGGGTTATGACTCATGTTGTCAGGGTCGGACACTTTTTGTTGTCAAGGTTGGACACCCTTGGTTTTTTCCCTTTTGTCAGAATATTTTAATTTTTCCAATGTTTTCTACAGTTATTCACTACAAAACATGTAAATACATTCAATGAAATAATTTTTTTCTATATTGTGAACAAATATACCTACATATTAATTAAAGAAATAGATTAAAGTTCTAAAAATAAAGTTTGAGTTGGATGAATAAATAAATTTGGTAACTAATTACTTGATTCAACAAAAAGTGAATTAATTAGTAAATAAGTAAAAAGCGACAAAAAATTCGGCACCAACCACTGCGAAATCAACAGGCACTACTGTTCAAAAACGAGGGCGTCCACCAAAAAAAAATGCAAAAAAAGGCCTCTTCTGATGAAGACGAAGAAGAGGACTTTTGCATAATATGCTTACAAACAATGCCACGAGACTTGAAACAACTCTGTTGCATGTAGAGAATGTAAAAGAGACGTTCACCTCAAGTGTGCCAAAATGACAAAAAGTTATTTTGTTTGTCCTAATTGCAAATCTGATTAATTTGTTTTTTCATACATGGTTGTAAAATTTGTTGTTCACAATAAAAAAGAGTCAAAAGACATAAAATACACCTGATCCAGGGATAATGTCCTCTTTTATTGCTTTTTTTCTGAAGTAGCAATTCAAGTGTCCAACCCTGACTACAGTGGCCAAGCCTGACTACATTTTTTTTTTTTTTTCATACTCGCCATTTCTATGTTTTTCATTTCACAACATAATGTTCATTTTCAGACATACCTTTTACCTTTACCTTTCAAACTATTTACGCAAATGATCTTTGTTCGGTCATGCCGCAGCCTAAATCAAACCACTAATTTCAAATCGTAACGTAAAACCAAATTCTCGATGTTCTCCCTTTATTTTGCTATTTGCCCTGCGCGGCAGCACTGTTTTGATTGTCATTGCTAACTACCTTTGCACTTGTTCGCTTATCGCTTCCTGGCATTAGTCCACGGCAAGCTTCATAACAGTTCGAATTTGTACACGCACATAGAAGGCACGATCGCTGATCGCCTGCCAAATCTCGGCTTTATATACTTTCGCGACTAAAACGGCACAGACAAATCGGTCTGCCTGCCCATCATACTTTCGTCTAAAGCACAGACAAATCGGTCTGCCTGCTAACCTACCCTTTCGCTGCAAAAGGCACAGACAAATCGGTCTGCCTGCCCAACATACCCTTTCGCTGAAAAATAGGCACAGACAATTCGGTCTGCCTGCCTAACTAAATCTACTACAACAAGCTAACTTTGTACATTTAAGGCCTTGGTGCCAGGTTAATAAATAAGTGCATATTTAAGTCGAAATCTGTGCGTTATTATTTTACTTGGGCACCACCAAAGGTAATGGTCTTTGAAAAAGCTCACTGACCCAACATTTTGGTGACCCCGACGTGATAGTGATACTGAAACAATAAAAATTCGAAAAATCGAACAAATAATTTTATTATTTTCGTTCGGTTTAAAGTTGGTGATCGCGCATATATGTATGTACATATGTACATAAACGCAAGCTGAAAACTTCGCTAGAGTCTCGTACACGCCCGCCCCCGCGCATCGTAAAGTGCATTTTCGTATTCGCTTTGTGCCATCGTTCCCGCTTTGAACGTTTTACAGCGGCGACAAAACGTTTGTGCGCGGGTTCATTGCCTACATTGCATATGCAATAGGCTTACACATAGATTCCGCTTCGTTTTCGCTGGCTTAGAATTTTGGCGCTAATCATTGCACAGTGGAACTCTTTTAGTGTGCAAGTGAAAAATTCTCGAACAATTAAAATCAAATTAATTAAAATGTCAACGAACCAAACTCTTTCTGCTCCAGTTGCGGGAGCAAAATATTTCAAGTTGAAGGCCGAGTCAATGCTTTCTAAAACGAAAGCCTTTGAGAAGGCCCTGACTGCCGACAAGCTCCAGGAAATGAGCGAGAAGGAATTGGAACTTCGTGTTCAACGCCTGGACGAGATCAAGACTGCCTTTTGCCAGATCCACGACAGACTTGAGCAGCTGGACTTTGATGAAATTGGTAGTGTGGTGCGCGATGACTTCGAGGAGCTTTTCATCTCAACAAAAACAAAATTGAATGTTGAATTGCGTAAGCGAAAAGGGACCAAGCGTCATAGCCCTTTGTACCCTGGCTCTCAGCCTTCGTCCGAGGTTCAGCGAGCTCCCGTGGCGGAACTAACCTTTTTATCCGTTCGAACGATGCATCAATTGGCGAGTGATGAGAAGAGAGGGCAATCAACACAGGAGGTTCTCGAAATCAACGACGTCCGTGATCAAATTCCTGACTTGGAAAAGGAAACATTTCGGAAGATAGACGATAGCAGCAACAAGACGCTCGGTCTTGCCTGTGACCCTGTAGCGGATGTTTCTCGTTTTTCCCTTTCTTCCATACAGGTCTCTCCAAAGCCATCTGCCAAGGCCAAAATCTTTCTGCAACAAGTCTGGAGAGAAAGGTTGAAGTGTGATAAGAGCTCTCCTGTTGTCCTGTTGCCATCTGACATGGGTCGTACCCATCAAATGGAGATTCTTCGACGTGCGTTGGATCCAGATGCTGATGGCGAACGAGAGGTGCATCTACTTTTTCAAAGTCTCGTGTGGCACCTCTTACGGTTTCCAAATTGGAGTTCTGCACTGCCATGATACTAGCCCAGCTGATGCGGGACGTACGCA